TCTATAGAAAGAGAAATAGGAATTAATGAAGAGATATTGTGTATTCATATGATTCATAAATAAACTATAAGAAAATATAGAGAAAAATATAAATAAATGCCTATAGGCATCATTCAAGTTGCAAATAACTTTAGATTAAGTTTAGACAAACCTAGATTTATATGCTTAAGAGATAAGAGACAAGAAAAAGATTTTCAAAAGTCCTTAGTAGTAATTATACAGTCAAATTTATATGAAGGACCACTCTATTTTAATTGTTTCCCAAATTATGTAACTAGAATAAGCGATGAAGATTGTAGAGAAATTTTAATAATGGAAATAGGTAGTCAAGACTCATAGAAAAAAGGAGTCATGTATATGGTTGTACAATATAGGATAATGTTCAAAATATAAAAAAACACAAAATTTTAAAGCCATAAAAGAATCTCCAAAAGGAGAATCTATATTAATAGAAATAGGAGGTCCCTCCAAAACTTCAATCATGACCCCAAAAAGAATAAAACACATTGAAATACAATTACTCACAAGTTGAACCTTCCCCAAATTAGCCAAACCAAAGCACTAGAGCAAGGAAAATTAAAAGAAATAATAAGAACATTGAAAGGAGATATTACATATGAAATATTAAATAGATCAGCCTCTTATTATTAAGAGAAAAAAAACACTTTTACAAATATCAGAACCAAGATAAACCATAGATAATTCAAATTTTTTTTAAAAAAATATATTGTAATGCATCCAAAGATGTTTTTATAGAAGATGTTAAAAATTTAATTTCAAAACAGATTTTTGCCAGGTAGCAAGCCATATTATGTTGTTTTGATTTTGAAATACAGTGTAAAAGAAAAAAAAATCTTCCAGACTTTTTGGAATTTTTTTTTTTAGAAATGAGTACTACAAATAAAATAAATATACGCCAGAGTGCTGTGTAGAAGCAACAATTCCCAAATGCTATAAACATTCTAATTTCAAATTTTCTTTTATTTTTAAAATAAATATAAATTATCCTAAAAATCCTCTCTACTTTTAAATTTTTCTATTTCCATCAACTTAATTATATATATCATATTAAAAATTAATCTATAATATAATAATATAAATATAAGCAAGTTTAAAATAGTTTTTAATTAATAAAGTATCTTATAAAACCAGCTTTGCCTCTGTACAGCATTTTTTGAGCGAAAACCAGCTTTGCCTCTGTACAGCATTTTTGAGCGGTAACATAGAATTTCCATTTCTACTAAAAAAATTAACATATCTTTTATTTATCAAACATACAATTTAAAAAATATCTTACAACATCATTAATTACTAAGAATGTAAATTAAAATTCCACAATTTTTTGTTAGAATCGAGAAGTCATGGGATTTAAAACTTCTCAATTATCATGAAAAATTTCGCAAGTGCGATAAAAGATTGAACTCTTATCATTTTTGGATAATTTAAAAGTTCAAACTCTTCAATTACCAAAAAAAAAAAACAGAGGGAAAAAAAATAAATTTCATAGTCCTTTTACTTTCAAATGTAGATAGTTATTTTTCCTGTTTGTAATGCGTGTATAATCGTATATATAGACATTATCGTATTGATCTATTTAAAGCAATTGTAGAGAAATATCACTCACAGCCCCATGGAAGACGTTCGAGTGATCTCCACAACTACGATCCGACCACGAAGCCACCTTATTAATGATGATTCACAAGAACAAATCGAGCTCAATCCATGAGATCTTCATTTTCTACTTCTCGGATATTGTCAAAAGGGGCTACTTTTTCATAAACCCACAATTGGGGTCGCTTGTCGAGGAAACTTTCAGAAACTTGCTTATGTGTGTGCTTGAATAGCAAAAATAATTAATTTTTAATTTAAAAAATTCATTTTTCATAAAATTATTCAAACACTCACTTTTTTAATTAATCAATTTTTGAGCTAAAAATCAATTATTTTCGAAAGCTGAGAATAGGAGTTTTCTGCGAAAAAGCTTGTCAAAAAATATTGAAAAAAATTACAAAGACAGGCCCCAACAAATTATAAAAAAAACACATAATTTAATAAAAATAAAACTAAACTCTTTTTTTTTTCCCTTAATAAAATTTAAACTTTGTATTTTCATAAAATTGATATTTGGTATTTAAGAATTAAATTATATAGTAATTTATATAACTAAAAATTAATTCTGATTAAATTATTAAAATATCTTCAATTCTATTAAAATTAATTTTAAAAAAATAGTATTCAAACAGATTGTATTATAACATAATTAATTATGATTAAAATTTATTACTTAATTAATTATTCTCATAATTTATTATACCCAACTGAAATTCAAACGAGCATTGTAATTCATTTACACAGCATAAATTATTGCAAACCAACAGATTGACAAGACAAATTATTATAAATCATCTGCTAATTGAGATAATTTGGAATTTATTTTTGTTATAAATTGATGGATTTTTTTTTGGCTTAATTTTCCTTTTTTGTCACAATTTGGCCATTACATTTTATTTCATATTTATTTTGTGCAGATTTTTGGAGTTAAAGTAAAGAACATCGGTGAAGATCTTATGTGCAAAAACTTGTGCGGGTTATTTCATGAATATTTTGTTTTATATAGGAAAAATTAATTATTTAATTTCTATAGTTTTGATCCAATATAACTCAATTTCTAAATTTTAACTCATTATAACTCAATTCTTGAAGTTTTGATTTGATTGTAAATCAATCCCTAAACTTTATGTCTTACAATCAGTCCCTAAAATTTTAACCTCTTAAATATTGATCCCTATATTTAAAAAATAAATTATAAAAATTAAAAATATTTTAAAATTTATTACTAATATCTTAAATTACTAAGCCATTTTAATATTTATAAATATTAAAAGTTCAAAAAATTTTAATTTTTATAATTTTATTTTTTAAAAATATAGAGATTAATATTTAAGAGGTTGAAACTTTAAGGACTAAATTGCAAGAGGCAAAGTTCAGGGATTAATTTATAACTGAGTCAAAACTTTAAGAATTAAATTATAACGAGTTAAAGTTGAGAGATTGAGTTACAACTAAGTAAAAACTACAAGGACCAAATGATTAACTTTTCTTTTTATATTTTTCTTTGGTGATTTTTATAGTTTTATTTTAATGGCTGCACAAAATATTATTAGTATAATAATTAACTGGAAATAAAATATATATTTTATTAGTTTATTAAGATATTATCGTGGAAAAAATTTATCAGAAAATCCTTATAGTGTTTTTCAATTTTAAATTAGATCTTATAATTTATTTTATTTTAATCAAGCTATTTTAGAAAGGTTTTTCAATAGATACATTAATCCTAGAAAGTTAAAATTCTTAATGAATGATTAACTTTTCTAAAACAAAAATACTCTTGAAGTTTATAGAAAATTACAATGTTTACATTTTTATTAAATTTTTTTATAAAAATTCTATATGTATATAAATTAGGATTAAGGATTATTTTTATTTCTCAAATTTATTCAAAGGGTTACCGAACACCTTGAACTCAAATAAAGATATGTTATGTCCCTCAATGCAAGAAATTCTCTCCCTTATTATCCCTAATGTTAACTCACTATATTTTTATCACTCGTGGGCCTCATATTTTATTTTGTAATATTTTTTATTATAAAGTATTGGGTTAAAAATTATTTTTGCTCCTCAAATTTTATCTAAAGGATCAATGGGCACCATAATTCAAATATTTTATAATAAAATATATTAAAAAAATAATATGCAGCCCACTAACATTGAAGAGATGGTGAAAAAATGTCAAGGTAGTGGGAAAGAATTTTTAAAGTTGAGATAGAATTAACCCTTATTTGAGTTCAAAATTTTTGTTGACCTTTTAGATAAAGTTGAGTGGTAAAAATGACCCTTAACTATATAAATTATTTAGAAGACATAACCTAATTTTAGTTATAAAAAGTATGTAATTAATTTTGAAGTTATATACTCCCTCCATTAAAAAATATAAAACATTTTTAACTGAATCTTATCCTTCAATAAAGTAGTTATCTACTTTCAATCTAACTCTATTTTTTTATATTTACCTCTATTAAACACCCTATAACAAATATAAAGTCATTTATTAATAGAGGCACTTTTAAAAAAAGACAATGATTACACCTTAAAAAACTAAAAATGCCTGATATTTTTTAATATCCAACTTTTTAAAAAATGCCTTATATTTTTAAATGGAGGGAGTAACAACAATTTAGCAAAAGTATAAAAATTCTAAATTTCATTTTAAAGAAAAAAATTCAAATAATTATATTTTGTGCCAATGATTATTATTTTTTTCAAAAAAATTTAATTTAATATGTCCAAATTTAAAAATATTTTGTCAATATTTAAAAGAATACAAATAATACTTTACCTGTAAATCAAATTATTCAAAATATAATTAAATGTTTGACTAAAACGAAATAACTATAAATATTCAATTTAAAATTGAGGAGAATTATAACACCTGCTAATTAATTTTCCCTCGTTATTAATCAATGATTAACATCAACTCTTTACAAATAAAGAAAGAATTATACTTCATGGCAATGTGATTGAACTAATTGTTTTTTTTTTTTTTTAAAGAAAACTGAAATCATACTGATTCAACTCGTTGTTGTAAATTATAAACAACTAAACCGTACAGTACGCGAGAGAAAATTTTTATATCACATTCCAACAAATTCGAAATCATCATTTAATGGCTTTTGCAGTGTCTTCTCTTGTCTTTAGTACAAGATTTACAGCATTTCATCAAACGCATCAGCTTTAATGAGATTACTTTTTCTCTGACATACTTTAATCCGACAAAACATTTTGGGAGGATGACGAATAAAAACATTTTAAAAATATTAATATTAAATTAAAATTTTTTAACAGTGACATTTCGCAAATTTTAGTAATACTTTTACCATATTTTAATATTAAAATTCTTAATTTGACATTATAACATTCTTATTTGTCATTCTCTCAAACCTTATCTGCAGAACAAATTTAAACCTCCCGTATTCATCAATACAACCAACCACCCACCCAACCCCATGGAAGCCGTTCGGGTGATCTCCACAACTACAATCCGACCACAAAGCCACCTTATTCATGGTGATTCACCTCAACAAATCGATCTCAGTCCCTGGGATCTTCATTTTCTACTTGTCGAGTATGCTTAAAAGGGGCTTCTTTTCCACAAGCCTGCAATATCATCGTCTTCAACACACACAGACACGGTGATCCATCATCTTAAGGACTCGCTTTCTTCCACCCTCGACTTCTTCCGGCCACTTGCCGGCCGTCTTGAGGTCGTCGCCCATGACGACAATGATGATGCCTTTTCTGTCTTCATCACTTGCAACGATGCCGGAGCAAGCTTTGTTCATGCCACGGCGGAGAACACTACAATCGCCGACATCGTTGAACCCTCCTATGTTCCTCCATTTGTCCAATCCTTCTTCCCGCTTAGCAAATCTAAGAACTTCGAAGCAACTCGGATTCCACTAATGGCGGTTCAAGTCACAGAGCTCGTGGACGGCATCTTCTTTGCTTGCTCCATGAACCATTGTCTTCCTGAGGTGAAGTCATTTTGGAATTTATTGAATATATGGGCTCAGATCACTCGAAATGGTTCAAATCACATAGCTTCAGACTCAAAGCTCGCTTCATTTGAAAGATGGTTTCCTCATAATAATATTGAGCGGCCCATTCGAATCCCATTCAGAAAAATAATGGAGAATTATCGCAGGGAGTCAATTAACTCGCTTCAACCACCTCCATTTCCAAGGAGGATATTCCACTTTGAAGCGGAAAAAATTGCAGAACTCAAAGCGAAAGTTAATTCAGAGGAAGAAGATGGTGTCATCAGCAACAAAATCTCCTCCTTGCAAGCTATCCTAGCACAGGTTTGGAGGTCAGTGATCAAAAACCAGAATCTTGATCCAGAAGAAGAAGTTACTTACAGATTTCTTGTAGCTGCTAGATCTAGAATTTCTCACCCACCAATACCAGACAATTATTTTGGAATCACAGTGCGTTTTGCTACAGTGACGATGAAAGTAAGGGATTTGGTGGGAGATGGAGGACGTGGGAGGTTTGCTTTGGAGATGAACAACATGGTCACTTCATACACAGAAGAAAGGATTAAGAGGGACTTTGAAGCTGGGGTACAAATTCCAACGATGCGTTCACTACGTAGCAGAATCGGGAAGATCATGGGAACCAGCAGCTCTCCTAGAGTCAACTTTTATGCCATTGACTTTGGCTGGGGACGGCCAGTGGCGGTTCGCGGCGGCCCGGCCAATGCAAAGTCGTGGAAGCTAATGGTCGATGCAGGAATAGAAGAAGGTAGCTTGGGCATTGAGCTTTCTGCCTCCTGTGAATTACTGGAAGCTTTGGGAAAAGAACCTGAGTTCAAGCATGCAGTGGCACCGCCATCACTGCGGTGGCTGCCGGCGGAGTTATCAAATAAAGTAGCCCGGACTCGACTCTGACATTAGCATAAAGTAAAGGAGCCAGCGCGGACTCGACATCAGTCAGGAAATGTGATAATCCTTGCTACCCAAATTAGAAGATAATTTTAAAAGAATTTCATTATCTTAAAATATAAGATTACTTGTGAGAAATAAGTTTTTATTGATTATATTTTTTTAATATTATTTTTTAAGTAGGGTGAGAATTAAAATAATATTATAGTATAATGATTTAGTGTGTGAATATTTATTTTAAAAATTTATAGTTTTTTCTATAATTTGTAAACCTTTCAGGCTTTGCTTGCCATATTATTCATTATCATAATAATAAGGGTAAATATAATTTTTAATCCATGTATTTTATTCATATTTTATTTTTTATTCTTATATTTTTTTCAGTATTTTAATCTTTATACTTTTTTTATTATTTTGGGTTCTTCCAAGATCTCTATACTTTACTTATAGAAAAACTGAAAATAATAAAAAATAAAAGCATAAGAATTAAAAGTAAAACGCAAGTAAAATATAAGGATCAAAAGTTAAGTTTACCCTCACAACAACAACAACAACAATAACAACAATATTTTTTGAAAAAGTAAATTTATAAAGTATTATTATTGAGCTTTATTAATTTATATAATCTTATTTTAAATTATCTTATAATTTGAGATGAATGGAATATCTAAAAACATAATGTATCATGTGAAAGAAGCTTTAGGCGTGTGTTATTTGCAGAAATCTTGTAAAGATATCAATCAATCCAACAAAATTTAAATAATTATGACTTTCCTCACACAATTATGTAGTCTTCTAGAGTTATTGAGTGAAGTTGATATTTGGATGATGAGATAGATATTTAATATAACTGTTCACTAATTAACAACTTGATTATTATAAATAGAAGTTTAACAAATTATCATAGAAGTTTTATCTATATGGCCAAAATTAACACAACACATAGATGTTGGATAACATACTTAATATATTTTCATTAAAAAAAAAGTACTTCATACTTTTATAATGTGCTTATAGAAAGGCAAAAAATGCTTTTTTTTTAAAAAAATCAACTAGTGCTTTTTTTTAATACAAGGCCAAGAGAATTTACAAGAAACTATTGTCCTATTATAATTATAGCTATGAGGCTATTACATTCGAGGGATGGGTTATTAAAGATACAAATATCAAAATTATGATAAAATGTCATATAAGCAAGAAGATCAATGTATTTTTTGACTTCTCTATAGACATAATAAAAAGTAACCACCTAGTTTCTCATAATAAAATTCCTAATATTTTTTATAATCGCAAAGAGTGGGTGATTATCATAGCAAATACTATTGATGAGTGATAAAACATCTAAGGAATCAAAGTGGACGTTAATTTTAGGAAGTTTCTCATTCCAACAAAGTTTGAAATCTTTTAGAATTTTCAAGAGTTCAGCTATAGTATTTGAAATAGTATTCAAGGTTTTTAACAAATCCCTTAATTCAATTTCCTTTATCATTTTTAATAGTGCCCCCACAAACAACAGTACTATCAATATTGACTAAATCATCGATGTCAAGTTTAATCCAATCGAGTTTAAGAGGGCTCCACTTAGCTTTGTATTTATTGCCTTTCGTGTTCAAATATTGATCTTAAATTGAAACTTAAGATTGGTTGATAATTTGTTGAGTATAGAATACCGCAATATCACTTTCAAGAATATTATCTTTAAAGTAAAACTTTTTACATTTAACTTTTCATATATTCTAATATACTTGGACAAAGAGTCTCGGCCAACAAATTTTCTTGTAGTTGAACTGACTGCCTCGTTAAATCAACTAGTGCTTTATTATAAGCATGTCTGATGCTAGCTAGGTTCTTGGTCTATATGTCGTTTGTTTTAGGCTTTGAGGCAAAAAAAGCGCAATCTGAAAGAGAAAATCGAATTGAGATGACAAACAACATCACCGTGATAAAATGTTTGGATATGACCCATGAAATGAAGGGATTTAGTTATACTATTTTTTTTAAAAAAACTTTAACAGTAACAAAAAAATATTAATATGATAAAATAATTTATATAATTATTTATATTATATTTTTAAATAAAATTTATTTTTATTTTTCATCAAAAAATATTATTTTTATTAGGAAAATAAATTTAGTATGAAAAATATTTAAATATAAATAATAAAAAATTTTCTTATAACATTTTAAACAATTTTTAAATTTTATTTTTTTAAATGACAATAATAAAGTATATAATCTATTTATAAATATGTATTATTTTAGTTTATGTTAAATATCTTTTACTTTCATCTTGTCCATATTTTTTCAAAAATAATGAATAAATGATTAATTTTTTATCTTCTTCGAAAATGATTAAATGTTAATTCCCCTTCTTTTCTAAAAAAAAAATTTTATCTATAATTTTGTAATAATCTTAAAAAGTATTTTAATAAAAAATTAATTTAAACATTGTAAATTTTGTTAATAGTAAATTTTATCTATAATTTTTTAATAATATTAAAAAAGTCTTTTAATAAAAAATTAATTTAAACATTGTAAATTTTGTTAATAATCATTTTGAATAAATTTTTATTTTTTAAAAAATACTAATAACTTACAATACAAAATAATTACAAGGATCTAATATTAATAGAATCGGTAATTCAGGTGACCTGACTTATTCAGGTTGAGTTTAAAATATGCAGACATATGAAAAATTCTATAAAATTAAGTTCAACCCTAACACCTTCAGCTTTTTGAGTTGGTCTAAATACTTAAATTATTAAATATTATTTATTTTTTTAGCTAATTTCAATTTTTATTCCTAAAAAATTACGATTTTTAATTTTTATCTTATTTTAGTTTTATTTTATTGAAAGTAAATGTATAAATCTAGTTATAAATTATTTTTTGAGAAGTATTGATATCTTATATTATGAAGTATTACAAAATAAATTATGAAGTAAGAAAAATGTGGTAGCTAGCACCTTCTATCAATGTGCTGCTAACGCTATTGAAGAAAGAGAATAATGTCAACCTGACTTACCTCATCAAACGCTCTCTCCCCCACCCCCTCTCTCTTTCCCACCCTCTGAACTCTTACCTGAACTACTCTAAAGTCTCATATTTTCTACTGAAATTGTCAATTATTGCTATATATATTAGTTGTTAGTGATGGAGTTGCTCAGCTAACGGTTAAAATGTAATAATTAATAATTATCTAGCAATAATTAACAACATTAATAAACAACATAAAATTTCAAAGTAATTTTATGATTGCATGTAACTTTTATGTAGACTTGAAAATAACAAGAACAATTATCATGCAATAATTTATGTATATTTATGCAACTTTAAATGGGATTTGAGAATAACCGTTTCTTAAAATTTTCAAGGACACATGCTAGTTTTCACCTTGTAACAGGGCATACATAATGTACCTGAAAGTCCGCCCTTGCATGCTTAGAAAAAAAAAAAAAACTTTTGTGCTGTTCTCCACTTCTTGGGGTCCCTGGTCAACAAACAAAACTATCAGAAACTTGCATGTAATTCATTTACACCACAGTATAAATTATTGCAAATCAAAGGAAAGCCATAATAAATCATACACGAAAATGAAAAATTAAAACCAAATTCAAAGGGAAGCCAGAATCAATCAAAAATCAACATATAGGAAACCAAAGGATTAAAACCCAAAAATTAAAAAAACATACATGGGATTCTAGGTTGCTCAAGTACAAGTGACAAAGCTAGAGAAGAATTGAGGGAGAAGGCAATGCAAGCCACCAAGCTTAGTCGTAGCAAAGGAATAAGACAATTTGTGTTTGAATCATCGAATGCAGCTCAGTGAAATATAGATGATTTTGAAAAATGAAATGGGTTTGAATTAGAGAACCAAACCACAAACATGAGCATACGGAGAGATTTTAGGTTTCTGAGATTAGAATTAGAGAACCATGAACATGAACATGAGCACTAGCACAAGTAGAGATTTTGGGTTTTTGAGATTAGAATCAAAGAACCATGAAATGGGTTTGAATCAAAGAACCAAGCCATGAACCAAACTAGATGAATTGATGATATGAGCACAAGTAGCATACAGAGATTCTGGGTTTCTATTCAAGTGTGCAAAGGTGATAGCAATGAAAAATAAACGAAGAAAGGTTTAAAGCAAAATTTTAAAATTCACATCTCACCAGTTATACATAATAACCGATGTAAATAGTGAATTATTTACATCGGTTAAATGTACTAACCAGTGTAGTTATGTTGAAAAATATTTTTTATAAATTAGAAAATATATCTACGCTAGTTCCATAAATAACTACCAACTAGTGTAGATATTCAATAATATTTTTTTAAAAAAATTATATATCTATATCGGTGCCATGAGTAATTGGTGTAGATATCTCAAGAATTTTTTTAAAAAAATATAAATACATAATATATCTGTACCGTTTCCACCTATAACCAAATTAGATATTTATAACTATACCGCTTACACATATAGAACTGGTGTAGATATCATGTCAAATTCTTATTTATTTATAAAAATGCCATTGCCTCTTATTTCTACACTATGTGAGCCTTAACTGATGTAGATGTATGGATGTAAATGGCCTATTTTCTACTAGTGAATTTTTATGAAAATTCTGCATGTATAAAAATTATTTCAAAGACAACCTATTTATATAAAATTTGAGTTTTTTTTTTTCGATATGAAGGCAACTTTTATTAAAACTAAAAGTAAAATGAGTACACGTAAGATGCCCTTAAAGAAGAACTCTTAAAGACCCATAACAAGAACAAAAAACAAACTCAAACTATAAAGCATAAAAGAATGAAACAAAGATACAACAGACTTAATAAAATCCAAACAACAAACTCGAGAAGCAAAAAAATAGCATTCCAAAACGCCCAAGTTGTAGTATTCTTGAACAAGTAGATGATGTGTAGTAGAGCTCGCATGAAGGACATATAAAACCAGTCCAAAGACCAGTCTGAATCTAACAATTTGAAGAGCAGCAAGCATTTGTTTGAATTGGATTCCAAGGGTCAATTCAATACTATTTCTGTCATAGGATTTAAGAAACCAAAGTTTAATCTGATAAAGCCTTAGCAAAGAAAATAACATATTTGCATGAACATGAATGCAACAACCTAAGACAAAATAGCAGACACCAAAATTAATAGACATGAAATCAAAAAGAAAAAGACCATGCAGCTCTTGTTGTAGGACCCACATGGCTGCAATGCATGAACCTCGTAAAACCCAGAATCCCACTCATGCTCTATAACAAAATTTGAAAATAGTGCAACCTTCTACATCCATTATGAACACTGAGAAGTAGCTATAATAGAAACAAACTCAAGGTTGGCAAATTCTAAATGATCAGTTTGAAGAACTATTGTTGGGGTAGTAACTCTTGGATAGTCAGTTGTGTTAAATTGGTTTAAAAGAAGTAGTGTTAAATGAATGACGTTATATCATCCACTCAAGGAGTTGTGTCTATATCATCTAGAAGGCGTGACAAATGGTAAGATTTCTCTGTTCAATTGAAAACGTTCAGCAACTTCACTTTATAATAATTTTATGCCAAGACTCCTTTCCTGCAAAAGTTAATGCTGCTGAGTGTAGTCTCGTAAAATGCTATTAAATATGATCTGTATGTCACTGTTGGATACAACCTATGTTCTTTTCTACAATTTTTAAACATAAACTGAAACAGTATGTTCCTGGTTTGGAGGCAGCGGATGCTAAGAAAATATATCCAGAAGAGTATACAACCTGGAGAGAAGATCCAGCAAATTTTTTCATAAATGGCACATATCCTCTAAGAGATCTCTGGATATCTGCAAGAAATGCTTGGAAGGAAATCTTATTGACGGCTGTAAAAATCTTCTCCTTGCCAGTTGTCATTTACTTTAGCAAGTAAAATTTTTCTAAACAACATCTAAGGTTTTTTTCTCCTCATGTATCAGGGAGAAAGCTTTCTTGTTGTGACTCAAATCTATATTGAGAGCATTGACTTGCACTGCCTTAGGTCTGGGCACGGAGAGGTGAGTTTTGTCAATGTTGCGATTTCAAATTTACATGATATGGAATGCACTAAGATGTACTGATTATTCTCCTAGTGTTGAAAGAAGTAGAAAGTTTTAGCTTTGTCAGGTAGTGTCAAAGCTTTCTTGTTATCCCCTTACATAAAAGCACAAGACACAGAGAGATACCATAACATCTTAGTGATTATGAGGTTCAATTGCCGCACTCTATAGCCCTATCACTACCTAATCCTACGTCAGCATCTTCCTAGGTATATCCTTTATCCAATTATGTCGCCTATGATCATTTCAATAATTCACACAAAGCCTTTCTAATGGCATCTCTGCTATGAATGAGCCTAAAAACTTTACAGAAGCTGTCCACCATAAATGTTAGTGAATTAATGCTATGAAGAAAGAAATTAATGCCTCGAAGAAAAATGGCACTTGGACTATTGAAAAACTTCCATTGGGCAAGAGAGATATTGACTCCAAGTGGGTCTTCAAAATAAAATACAAGCCAAATAGAGACATTGACAAACACAAGGCCCGCCTTGTTGCAAAAGGCTTTATACAGGTTGAAGGTGTAGACTTCCATAAGACCTTTACACCTATAGCAAAAATAGTTATGGTCCATACTTTACTTACTATTGTAGTAAAAAGAGGGTGGCATATTCAATAACTTCATGTTAATAATATATGTGAGAATCAGGGTGAGCTCAGCCCTTATGAGCTTGGCCCTTAAGGGCTCAACCTTAAAGCTTGGTTACCAAAAATTTAACTTAATTTTAAGGCTTGATCCTTATTTATAGGGTTGAGGGCTGGGCCCTTAATCCCTCTTTCTCAAAAAAAATCTAACGTTTTAATTTAAACATAATACTTTAAAATTTAACATAAAACAAATTAAAGTTTCACATAAAATTTGACAAAGATTTAAAATTTAAAATTTAAAATGAAGATTAAAATCTGCATCAATGTAATCTAAATCCTCATCATTATCATCTAAAAATAAAATATTATATCCCTCAAATGTAGGTCCACTTGTTGAAGATGGAGGTGAAGATTTAATGCCAATTATCTTTACAACTTCTTTTTCATTACGTACAATAAATATTAATCAAATTATACCATTATCAAACAAATATATGTATGTATTTGTGTGTGTGTGTGTGTGTGATAACCAATTTATCAAGGCTTGAAAGGCTACTCGAACCCGAACCCTTTTTCACAAGGCTTCTCAGAGCTAGGCCCTCAAGCCCATTTACTTTTAAAAAAATTAATTTCAAAACTCAAACCCTTATTTAAACAAAATCTTCAAACTCAATTCTTATTCCTGACTTTATTAAGGTACTGAGAACCATCCTAGTTATTGAATCTGCTAAGATTAGAAATTAGAAGTCAGGACTTCAATTGGGAGTCAAATCAAAATCAAATCAATCATAATAAAATAATATAATTTAAATAAGAACATGTTAATTATCAATACATTCAGCCATATCTTAGTCTTAATATCTTATATAACATGCAACAATAATTTTAATAATAATAAAAACACAACATTTTTGTATTTTTTTAAATAAGATTAATTAATAGAAATACAAATAAGTTTTAATGAGTTAGAATAATAGAAATAAAAAATATTTTGAAATAAAAGATAATAAATAAAAGCGGTATATTTTTAAAAATAATTTAATTAAGTAATTCAAATTAAAAAAGGTAATATAATACGCACACTTTTTTCTGCCTCTGCCATCCCCTCATCTAACGCCTTCATGTTTATGAGTATGACTTTTTTCATGTCTATGACTCCAATTGACATGGGGTTATCATGTCAAAAATGGATATATGATATATTTTGTGTGCAAATTAATTACATAAAAAACATGGAAATATCCAAAGGGTTTTGGGCGTGATCAAGTTTTTTAGCACTGGATCACACAATGTGGTGTTCTTTGTTCTTTCCTTCTAGTTCATCTTCCTTCGTCGTCTTCGTCCATATTCTTTCATCCCCTTCTTTCTTCATCCTCTTCCATCTTTTTTTGCTAGATGGGCAAACACGCGGCACCAAGGGACATGATAAATGTATGAACATGACTTGTTCATGTATAAAATAATTATAAATTTAAAACACAAGTTACAAATTCATCTTAATAAAATTTTAAAAATTAAAAGATGAATTTGTAAATTTTTAAAATTTAACATTTAAAATTTAATTTAAATTAATTAATCCGCTTGAGATCTATTTGTTATTTTCTCTATTCTTTTCTTCCTTTCCTTCTCTCCACAATGTATCAATTGGCATCTAAATCAAGTTCCCACTCAACTTCTATTGCCAAATTTATTTTAAAATATTTTTCCTAATGTCAGAATTATCATACAAGAACACTTTTGGGAATAAAAGTTTCTATTAGCTCTTAAGTTACTTGGCAAGGCTCCTTGATCCAAAATTTCTAAAGCTTCAAATTATTGCAGGGGTAGTTATTTTGTGTTCTTGTGCTTATTATGTTACCTTAATTTGATTTTCCTAATTTCGTATTTCTAAAACTCCCTTCTTATCCTTATTCTCTTTTAATCATTTTACCCTTGATTTTTCCTTTAAATTAATTGTCAAAATATTTTTTGATATGCTTTAATTACCTTGTCTCTTATATTCTGAGGACACTTTCACCTTATAAGTAATTTGGACCTATAACCGTGTCAAAATTTATTCTATTTTAATTGACATTTCTATCAGTTTTCCCAATAGGTTTACATGCCCTCGGAGGTCACTATAAAAATTTTAATCAAGTTATTATATTATTTAGTATGTATGATTTTTAAAGAACTTTTAAATTTTCAAAGAGTTGGACTTGTTAAATTGAGTATTTACCTTTAAGGTGAGAGAAACTTGAGAAACATTTTTCAAATAGAATATTAGATCTTTCCTTTCCATCTCACGTTTATTGTCCAGAACTCATAAAACAACACCTTCCCACCACTAAAATAGAAAAACCTCTTACTATATTTATGTCAATCATCATCTCTGTGTGTGTATCGCCTGAAGTTACTTGTAACCTTTTCTTCCTCTGATCCAAATTGTTCCAAGTTTTTTCCCAACTAACTTTGTTTCGACATATTTTAAAAAATATTTTCTTTGGTTTTTCCATTATATTTTCATTGGAAAAAAAACACAATTGAATTTTATTGACATGCAAATTATAATATAGAAAGTTACTTAATTTGGACTGAAAGGAGTATACTAATATTTCTATTCTAAATTATAAAACACTTTAAGCAAAGAGTTGATGTTTCAAAGTATAACACATTTTGAAAAAATTAAGATTTTATTTAATAGACTTATGCTAAAATTACTCTTTTTCTTTCTCTATTAAATTTTTGTCCATCTCTCTTTCAATATATCAAATGAAAGGTATTTTTAAAAGTTTATATTTTTATTTTAAAACAGTAAGATCATTAAGTGTATTTAATAAGGTTTATTATTTTGTAAAATTTTATTTAAAAGTGTTTTATAATTTAAAAATGATGGAGTGTAATATTTGGTTATATTCAAGGTTGCATAATATAATTTCTCATAATGTTAGTTCATTCACACACACATAAATATTATGTATTATGAAGACAAATTTTTCATCAAATCACAATGAAAACAGGTGTATAACATAGTACCATCAATAATGCAACAATGTAAAATACAGAAGCTTATAGAGCACTCTTTGTAAATAATATAAGGAAAACATAGTCATCCATTTCTATAATTTTATTGAGTTTTATTTTTAATTTTTATAATTTTTTTAGTTTTTTAAATCTCTATGATTTTAACAAAATTAGAAGACATTTGTTGTTCATATCTTTATAGTTTTAATATTTATTTAAAAATTATAAAAATTAAAATTAAAATCTAATAAAACTACAAATGAATATGTTTTCCAACAATATAATACCAAGAAAGGACACACAAATTGTGTTTAGATTTCAATTGAAAAAAAAAATTAATTATAAAAAAATTAATTATTAAAATGTGATGATATTTGAATAAATTTTTAAAAATTAATTATGATAAACTTGATGATGTTTTGATAATTTTTTTAGAATTATATTTTAGTAGATGATTTTATTATTTAAAGTGATAAGTTAATAATGTTTATAATTGATTTTTTAAAATGAAATAAATTTTAACTTATTTTAATTGAAGTTTTGAAAATTAGATGGGAGTTTGGAGAAATTGAGTGTTTGAATAAAATTTTTTAAAATTATAATTTTAAATTCAGAATTAATTTTAAAAAGGTATCTAAACAGGCCCCAAAACATTACCTCAAGCTGTCCTTTCACATTCTGAATATAACTTATCGCCAACTAAAACAACCAGGAAGCTACGTACTATTGTCAAAAGCATCTAGTCGATTCGTATCAACAGCGAGCCAGCTCATCACAGCTCTGTCTCATCTTTGTCCCCTTACCCCACCATTGTCCCCTTACCCCACCACATCATCCAAAAATATATTTCGTCATGTACTTTTGATAAGTTATTTTTACCCATTATATTAATAACAATATAAAAAAATAATATTAATATAAAAAAAGTAAAAAAAAAAATAAAGTATATAAAATTTTAAATATGTGCCTATATAAAAAATTTATATAATAATATTATGTTATTTTTTTCTGTAAATAATTTTAAAAACATTTTTTATAAAGTATCTCAATCATTATTATCGACCGTATTTAGGATATTTCAATTGTTATTATTTTTATCTTTACCTTTTTTTATTAAATATTGGGAAGGAATGATGAAGTATTTTCATTTTTAAAATATATTAAATTATTAGACAATGTTAATGATATTTAAATTTTTTTTGGTTATGATGAAAATGTTGGAAGTAATTTATAAATAAAAAATACAAGAAATACTCCCAAATTTTAAAATTTGGTTTGGTTTTAAATGAGTATAGGATAAAAAAGTAATAGTTAATTGTTTTTTATATTACCTTTCTTAATTGCACAAAATT